GTGCAGAACAAGTGTGTACCCATAATCCGCAAAGATGTTAAACGAAAACATTAGCTCCTTCATAGTGACATTAATACGAATGTTGCAAAATGATGTTTTACAGTCACATTAGCTCCTGCTATCGAGAGCATGTACAAAAGGGGGAGCTAATTTAATTCCTATGACTCCAACTCGGACCTCAGGACTATGATCCGAAACATAAGGAGTCAAGCCAAAAAGAAGTGTTCTACACACTACGAAACACTCTAAACACACTACGAAACTACACTACGAAACTACTACACATTAAGGTGTCTCCGGTTGAGTCGTCGGAGATACCACCACGAATCCCTTCCCATCGTGAGATACCTCGAACATGGTTTCTGAAGAAGGACGGGAAGTGCACATTCTGGCATCGTCTTTGGCCTTCTCTAACTTTCCTCGCACAACTGGAGGGAAGCTATCCTTCCACCGACTCATCTTCTTTTTGTTTTTCACCAGCCGAGTCATAACTGAAACACGAATCCCCTCCAGCATTGCAATAACTCTCAGTGACCTGAACCGCAATATCCAATTGTTGAAGGATTCACATATGTTGCTCTCAACTGAATCGCTTTTGGAGAAAGTCTTCATAAAAACCCGACAGAAGTGCTCTGGTTCAAAATTCATGAAATCTCTATATTCAGAACCTCCTAGCTCACGCATTCGCAGCACCGCAGACCTCCAATCAGGCTCATTCAACGAATATACAGCCTCCCAGTAGAGGTCAGTTGCTAATGCTGTCTTATGCTTCTCTCGGAAATGGGAGTGAATATGGCGAGCACATTTCCTGTGCTCTGCCATTGGCAAGCATGTTTGGAGCGCCTCCACAAGCCCCTGCATTTAAAGTGGAGCATATCACCAAGTTACAACTTGGCAGAAATAAGTAAAATACCAGAAATAAGTAAAATATCTAAAGTGGAGAATATCTAAAAGTTTCACCAGCAAAAGTAAAATACCTTCTGTTGGTCTGACACAATTGTGAAGCCCTTTCCATCGAGTGTCCCAAGCTGCTCTTGCAATGCGCTTACAAACCATATCCACGAACTTTTGTTTTCAGATTCCACAACCGCCCAAGCGATTGGGAACATGTGGTTGTTCCCGTCCTTCCCAACAGCCGACAGTAACATGCCTTGCACCTCTCCTTTTAGGAAACAGCCGTCGAGGCAAAAGAAAGGTCGACATCCCGCTATGAACCCTTTACACAAACTCGAAAAGCCAACGTAGAGTCTTTTGAAAAAGACCTTGTCTTCACCAGGCTCAATATCCACTTCCAGAAGGAATTTGCCTTGAGGGTCCACTTTTATAAGATGGCCTATGTAGTCTCTAATTTGGTGAAAGTCTTCTTCAAGAGACCCATACAGCAGCCGACGAGCTTCCAACCTGGCTCGGTAGCAAGTAGCAGTCGATACAATCAGGTTGAACTTGCGCTTTACCTCGTTTGCTATTAGCCCAACATCCCACGCTTGATTGACCCTAAATGTTTCCAGATATTCTTTGGCCATCCACTTGTAACCAGCTGCACGAATCCGAAGAGACCGGGGGCAGCTATGAGCTTCACCAACTCCTTTCACCATAAAGCATTCGTTTTTGCGCCACCAACTCGCATACACCCTCCAACCACACTGATATTCTTTCCTATTTGCACATACAGCTTCCTTTCTCACTCCACTACTCCTTGCCCATCTAATGTCTGCTCCATTATAAATCGCATTGCTGATTACAGCTTCTTTAAACTGCTCAGGACTAGTGAAACGCATACGAGGCTTGAAATTCAATGTTCTATGATCACACTTCGGATCATAGAACAAGCTCTTGTCAAAAACAAATGAGTTAACCTCTTCACCAATATCACCTCGAACATGAGCAGATTCCTCAGATCCCCTGTACTCAGTTTCCATCGAGCATTCATCATTTGCATCACCACCTTCATCATCTGCCTCCCCTTCATCATCTGCCTCCCCTTCATCATTTCCAACTTCAGCATTTGCTACCCCTTCATCATCTGCAACTTCAGCATTTGCTACCCCTTCATCATCTGCAACTTCAGCATTTGCTGCAACTTCATCATCTGCTGCAACTTCATCATCTGCTGCATCAACCTCACGCAACACCTGATCAACCTCGTCCCCCGATTCCACATACTGTGCTCTAAAATGCTGCCTCCGTTGTCGAACTGTCTTCATAATTTCGTGGTACTCCTCGTCAGATGTTTGAGCATCATCACTCTCCTCCACTCGCAGAAACTCAGGCACAGCCGACTGCTCACCATCCTCTTCCGATCCTTGAGGATCATGACCATAGTTGTCACCCATATAGCCAAACTCACCAATGTCTTTAGTTGCCTCGAAGTAGACCCTCAAATCTCCTTTCTCAGCATCTGTAAGTAAGGTCATGACTTCCACATCAGAGTGAACTTCGTGCAATCCAGTAGCCATGTCTTCCCCCAGGGTCAAGTACCAAACCCTTTCAACCGATAGATAGGACAAATCTTCAATAAGGGTCTTCGTAATCTCGAAGTAAGACAAGACATCACGATGAATGTCAATGACGTCTTCCACACCACCAACATACTTCGGAACCACACCAGACATGTCCATAGCACCTCCATGAACCAAAATAAGCGTAATCACGTCGTCCATCCTGCATGTACACAATTCAAAAAATAAAGACAAAGACAAATCAACAACTATTGTTTAATCTCCACTACACAGTATTCCACATATGGCCAAATCCAGATTCTTGGATTCTATTGTTTATGAAGAGAGAGATTGATTGCTTACCTAGTGGTCCAGAAATTTGCTTTCCCACTGTGGTCCCGATTCTGTCGACAGCTTCGCTTTATTCTTCTTTGGAGAAAAGATCGATGGGTGGGAAAGGGGCTGTTCTGGAAAGCGACTTTTGGGAAAGGGGCTGTTTTGGAGAAGAGAGAGATAGGTGGGAAGGACTTTTCTCCTTCTGGAGTGCTGCGCCTCGACAACGAGAAGAAGAAGATGGTCTGGGTTAGGGTTCTGGGTTAGAAGAAAAAAAGGTGAATCGAAGGGGAAGGGAGAAGGAGGAGTCGGGGCGAATCGATTAGAAGAAAAAAAGGTGAATCGAAGGGGAAGGGAGAAGGAGGAGTCGGGGCAAATCGAAGAAGAAGAGGGTCTGGGTTAGGGTTCTGGGTTAGAAGAAAATAAGGTGAATCGAAGGGGAAGGGAGAAGGAGGAGTCGGGGCGAATCGAAGGGGAAGGGAGAAGGAGGAGTCGGGGCGAATCAGCGACGGCGGCGTCTATCACCGACCGGCCGCCGCTGCTTTTGCCGGAGAATCTTCGAGAATCGCCCAGAATTCGTCGGGGAAGTGAGTTGGAGGTAGACGATGGGTCTGAAAGGGGGGAGGTACTTCCAGATACGAATCGATGCGGGAAGATAGGGATGGGTTTTTTTTATTTTATTTTATTTTTCTTTTATTTTCCGTTCCATTTTTATTTTAGAGTTATTAATTTATTTTTTATTTTTTGTAAAAAAAAATATAATTTTTAATGTATACGTGGCAGCTGATGTGGCAATTGACTAACGGTCAACTTGGTTGACCGTCTGTTTTGACGGTCAAACGCGCCTCCAGGCCATATGAGGATGTTTGCTACATAGTTCAGGCCATAGTAGCAATATTCAACAATTCGGGCCAAAGTAGAAAGTATGTGTATAATTCGGGCCAAACTAAGGTATTAACCCTTATTAATACATGAGAACTGTTTTTCACCATTAGATATGGAGTATCACTTAAATAATGAACTAAGAATTAGAATGAACTTAGTCATTTGACTAACCACCCTCTAGTCATCAGTCAACACCTCACAATTACACCTTGAAGATTAGCTTATTCATATGTAAGAGTCCACATTTTCCTCATAAGAAAAGACCATATTTGACAAAATCGAGCCGAACCAATTGGTTAGACCGGTAAAATTTGGACCCGAGCATCAAACTAGTTTGGATCAGTCTATTAACCGTCCTCATTTGAACATGTCGATCGGTAATCAATTAGATTAGTTAACTACCCTGATCGGATAAACCTGACAATCGATTTTGAGTTTCTAGACGCTTGGTGTAAAAACTTGTTCATGATGGAATTTTAACCCAGACCCTCTTAGTTAGAAAATAAGGTGTTTTCAACTGTGCAATCTTTATTACGTGTTAATATGCAAATATCTTAGAATATTATTGAGAATATGCAAATGTATTTAGTTTGAAATAATTCCTATTTTCAAAAAGGATGAAAACATAATTAAACCATAATTTTTTTATGAATATATTAATAATTAAACATTATTTTTATTTTAAAGAATATTCAATAGTTCTATAATAATCTAACCATAAACATTTTCATTTCAGTGTCCCGTCCGGTTATGAAATTTTAACTAAATAAATAATTCATTTCCCTTATTCAATCTCAACGTATGTGGAGTGGGGGTGGGCATTCGGAAACCGAACCGAAATTATGAATACCGAGTCCCCGAATTCTCCCGAACCTCAAACCGAATTATAATTCGGTTCGGTCGGTTTAAACCGAATTATAATTAGGTTCGGTTTTTAACACAAAACCGAATTTATGAGGCTACTTGTATCTTCTCACTTTTAAATTATTTTTCATCCCTAATATAAACAATAAATATGCAATTATATGCATCATCACTGATAAAATCAAATATTTCAACACATAAGCCATAAAATATTTCAAATATTTAAATATAAAAACAACTACAAACATAAAAATCCACCATTTGAAGGTTGCAATTATAGTATTTCGGTTTTTCGGTCGGAATTTCGGAATTTCGGTTGAAAGAACCCTAGTTTTCGAAATATCCATATTTTCCTTCCGAATTCCGAACCGAATAGCATTATTTCGGTTCGGTTCGGGTTTACCGAACCGTTTTCCCACCCTTTAAGTTGTGGAGAACTAGTGGTGTGATGTATTTTACGTGCGAATATATTTGCGTACCTGTCAAATTAGTTTTGCCCACAAATAATTCCCTGAGCATGGTGCAATTCCCAATTGTCGCTGGAATGCTTCCAGAGAACTGGTTAGTAGACAATCCTACAATCCGCAGACTCGCACAATCTCCAATACTCGTAGGAATCGCGCCGTGCAGTTGGTTATCAAGCAAACGCAACTGTTGGAGGCTCCGTGCACCAGAAAATAAATCATCCGGCAAAACTCCCGATAACTTATTTTTCGACAGATCCACGTCTTGAAGAGTAGTGACATTGAATATCGCGGAAGGAATCGAACCAGAAAGGCCAGCATGCCACAGCCAGAGTGTCTCCAATCTCCTAAAGTTGCCTATTGCAGATGGTATCCCACCTACCACATAAATAAAACCAGTCAGCGTTACTTTATTTTAATTATGTAGCAATTAATAAACGATATGATTCATTTACCACTCCATGAACCAGGGGCGAAGCCAGCACAGCGGCCGGGGGGCCATGGCCCCCGGGAATTTTGGGAATATGTGTAATACCGGACATCTACCATAGTTGACATTAATAGCATATTGGTATTAGCTGTGTTTTGTAGAATGGAGGTCTAGGGTTCGAATTCTCCTAGTGTTCTTTTTGCTGCTTTTTTTCTCTTCTTTGTCTTCTCCCATCTGTGAGAGTGGAGGTCAAGGGTTCGAACACCACCCCACCTTTTTTGTAGCTTTTTCTACTTTAAGCTATGGAGTTGTGGCCTTGTGGGTGCAGAAATTAAATTGATGGTTGTCAAATCTAAATTGAAATATGAAAATTGTGTTCATTGGTTTCTTTAGTTATCAACCATTTAGTTTAGGAGTTAAATGTATTCCTTTGAAATTGAGCTCGATTTTGGATTCTATCAACGAATTTCGACATTGATGTTATTTATCGTTTTACAAGAAAGTGTTATCCTCTAGTTTTTTCAGAAAAACAAATACATATATTGTCATTTTAATTGAAGAGTTTTCATGTTGATGCTTTTAGACATGCTTTTCTAGTGAATATATCATTTGTTGCACAACTGTGTTATAGTTTAGCGAAACTTGGACAGTCAAAGGAGTTTGATCTTATTGATATGTTAATTCACCTTATTTTTAGCGTAAACACTATTTTGATGGATTTTATTTCCCTCAAATAGCATCGTGTAATAAATAAATTTCATTTATCATGATTTTGTTTGAAAATTTTATTATTGGCCCCCCGGACTTGAAATCCTGGCTTCGCCCCTGCCATGAACCCACCAATCAAATTAACTCGTAGTATACCTGTTACGTTGGTTTCCCCCAAGGACAGAAATCTGAGTGCAGTCAAATTCCCGATACTCTTTGGGATCGGTCCGGTAAACCAATTGCCGGCGAACGACAGGCCCCGAAGATTGCCACAACGCCCCAATCGGGATGGAATTTGTCCTGTCAAAGCATTGCGAAACACACTAAGCACCTCGATTTTCCCAATCTGGATGCACATATCATCGGGCAGGCTTCCGGACAAACGATTATGTGCCAATATCAATCTCTCCAGGGAAGAAATGTTGAAAATTGACGTTGGTATGCCGCCTGAAAGCCGGTTTCCCTCCAAATCCAGCACCCTTAAACCCCTAAGATCCCCAAGCGACGCTGGGATGTCGCCTCCGAACTGGTTATTAGAAAAGTTGATGATCTTCAATCTTCTCAACTTAGACAGCTCCATGGGCAAATCCCCACGGAAGAGATTGCCGCTGAGATCGAGAGAAACCAAGAAGGAGAGGTTACCAATGTGGGGAGGCAGAGTCCCCTGCATCCCCATGTTGGACAGATTCAAGGAGGTCACTCTCCTGTGGCGACGCCCGCATGAGACGCCGGCCCAGCTGCTACAGACTTGGGATGCCGCCGCCGCGGCGGTCCAGTTGCCGGAGAGAGGATGATCGGAAGAAGAGTTGGTGAGGATGATGCGGGCTTTGAGTTGGAGGAGAGCTGCTGCATCATGTTCATCATTATTGTAATAGCTACCAGCAGCACTAGTAACAGAAGTTGTAAAGGAAGCGAAGAAGAAGCAGTGTTGGATTAACAGCACGATAATTAGCAACGAAATCATGGTTGGTATAGTAGTTGTGAAATACTGGCCAGCTAGTGGGTTAATGACTGGATCAAGATAGTCTCTTTATATATATATATAGTTGCTTGCTTGGGACTTGTGAGGACTGGATGGGGGAAAAAAAGTAGTAAAATCGTATCAGAGAGAGAAGTTAGTAGTGCGGTATTTTAGTGATATAATCATTGTTTAATTGATAGCGTACCGTTATAGGGATGACAACAAAACTCGAATCCACGGGTACCGATTCGATCCAATTCGATCAATGCGGGTAAAACTTTTGTTGATGGGTTTTTGGGTCGGGTTTGGGTTTAAATTCGTTCAATATTCACAGGGTTGGGTTTGAGTTTAGGTAAACCGGTCTCATAGGTACCTGCCCACAATCATATAATTAATTTTCTCGGTATATTTAATATTCGGGCAATGTCTATTTTTTACCCAAACCTTTTTCAGATTCTTTTATTTTAACCAAACCTATAGAAATTCTATTTATTATCCAAACGTATTATAATTTATCAAAGTCTGGGCATTCATTCTGTTACCGTTACTTATTTTGTCCATGTGAGAGGTGGGGTTTTGTTTTGTTTTTTGATAATCTTTTTATTAAAAATAGTAAATGATGGTATTCTGACAGCCACGTAGGAAGTCAACTCATTATGGTCATACTTAGTCAGCATTACTAACAGAAAAGTTGACGGAGAGTTAACGTTTGGATAATTTTTAGGAATTCAATAGGTTTGGTTAAAATAAAAGAATCTGAAAAAGGTTTGGGTAAAAAATAGACATTGCCCTTAATATTCTAAACAACTAATCTTATTTATGTTTGTGGAGACATGTCTAATTTTTTCTTTCTAATTGTGTAGAATGAAGTTGATTGTATCGAGTGGAGAGTGAAGAAACTTAATTGACAAGGAGAAAGAAGCTTTCAATTAATCATGTTATTTATGGATAATTTGTGATTTGCTTCAATTTTCTTGAGTTTCTAGATTGGTGTTGAACAATTTGTATAGTTAAATTGTGATTTGCTTGAATTTTCTAGAATGGTGTTTTATATATGGATAATTTGTATTAAAATATTGATATTTGACTTTAATTTTGATAGGAACTTGTTATTGTAAATTTTTTACGATAAAAATCCATGGGTACCCATGAACCCGCGGATACCCAGCAGGCTGGGTTGGGTTTGAGTTTTTCAAATCCAGTGAATTTTACCCCGAGTTCTTTTCACGAATAAACCCATGATTTTGGGTTTGACAAAATCCGACCCATTATCATCCTACGTAACGGTGCAATACCTTTTTTTAAAATAAATAGTATATTCAGTTAGCATTACATAGGTAAAGTACTATCGCCAAAACTGGTTGGCATTACTGAAATTTGTCAATTTAACTGTGTAATCAGGGGCGGAAGAAGAGGCTAATAAGGCGGGTCTTGGATCCATTCTGGCTTGAAAGAAAAACGGTTAAATTAGTTACATTAGTTAATTGATATTGAAAATTAGGGCGCGTCTAATTGATAATAATTGAAAGAGTTGTCTTGTGTTTTAATTTTGGTGACCTCATTTATTAGGCACATGTAATTCAAATATATTCAAATTTTGATTCCATATAAGTTAACTTTATAAGAGGGTGTGTTAGTAAATGGTATAAGATATATTATTGGACTTCTCCCAACAAACTCGAGATCGATGCTAAACGGTTCTTGACAAAGAACACCATTCGAAACCGAATGACTAACTAACTCATGAATAATTGTTTGGTATAAGATTCAATTATTAAATATCTCTCAATAATTGGAGTTATTGATACCAAACGGTTCTTGACAAAGAATACCAATCGAAAGCGAACGACTAACAAAATCATGAATTAATGTTTGGCACACATAGAATAATATTTTTTAATTGTTTTGTATTTAATTTATCAAAATTTTCCAAATATAAGAGTATATCATGAATGATTAAAAAAATTTAAAAAAATTATCATGTATATTTTTTCTTTCTAAGTACACCATTTTAGATGAAATATTGACTACGCCATGTGCTTGGAATTGTATTTTCATAATGTTCATCTATTGCATCAAATTGCATGATGGTAGACGGCTTTTACGATCCAACCTACAATATGGTACTGTTTAGCAATCCTTGAAACATAAATGGATGAATTGTGAAGGGCATAATAGTAAAAAGCAAAGAATAAATTAAGGTGGCATTGGTCTTGCGGGGTGTGCACGTTAAGCTAGCGAGTAATTAAGAAGTGACAAATACGAAAATGAGTCGATATGCTCACTGCTCAGGGACGTTTTGGAGTAACTGTTGCATGGGAGAAATATGAAATGTTTGTATAGTTTTTCGGTCTATATAGAGATGAAGCCTTCAAATTCAATCCGGTTGTTTTTTCATTTTGTATAGTTTGTTGGTCTAGTTTATAATTTTCGTCCAACATGTTTGTATGTTCAAAAAATAACCGAGTTTACTTTGGGACGGAATCCCTCTATATGGAGATGGAGCCTCCAAAGTCAACCTCATTGTTCAAAAGAAAACCTCATTATTTATTTCATTTTTTATGGTTTGTATAGTTTGTTTGTCTGTCTAGTTTGTATTGTTTGTATAGTTCGTATGTTTTGTATTATTTATAAATATGTTTTTATATTTTGTTGTTCTAATTTGTATTGTTTATTGTATGTGTGTATAAATTGTACTGTTTGTAAGTCCAATTTGTATATTTCGTAATTTTTTATAATACTCAAATTACTATGATCACTAATTAAAAATCACGTCTCACTTTAACCGTTAAATTGGTATAAGTCCACCGAAAAGGACACGGTTACCATCCCATAAGTTACGTTGTAGCATTCACATCAAAGAGAAAATTGCTAAATTGGACGACTTTGAATGGGTCAGTCACCTCAACTTGACTCATCTCGACCTAATTTACATAGACATCCATGTCCTGACAAAATCGGAGTAGAATTTCGTCTCAGTAATTTTGTCTCTGACAAATCCTTTAAAAAATGCAATGAATTTAGTTGGAAATGACTTGGAAAAGCATGGGTATAAAGTTACACCAAAATATTTTCCACTTTTATGGTGTATTTTTTGACAGGTGAACTGCTTTAACAAGTGAAAAGAGGTCGAGTCTATACAACGAGTTTGTATTTTTATTATGTATTTGATTTAAGATATCAAAATTATGTATGTGTTTTGGAATTTATGTTTTAAAAAAAAATTATAAGTTATTGGTTCAATTTTTTCGTTTGGTTCAATTTTTTTTCGTTTGGTTAACTAAACAAATTGTACAATAATGTGTTCAATATGGTCTAGACCGTATATAAACCAAACCGCATAGGCTTGGTCTGATCTAGATCGTGTAGTAGTTGGTATGGTCTCTGGTCTATTTGGTATGGTCTCTGCCTCTCTGGTCTATATTTCATGCAAGATTCTGGAACAGAGATTATTTGAATCGAATACGACCGTAAGCCAAATTTGAACTGGTGACACGAGTACTTTCAGTCCTCTGCTCCACCACTTGAGCTATCCCGGTCCATTCAAACAATTTCAAATTCAACGAACAAAATAAGTTGAAGTTTTTTTATAAATTCCAATTCCAAAACCTACTCTGAAACACTGCAAATAACCGCGTGGATAACCTGGCCACCTGTTAGAATCACCTCTAGTTCCACTCGACTTTGTTCTAATCTTTTTTTTTATAATTAAAAAGCGATCAATTATATACTAGTGCATGCAAACTAAAATCTTAGAGAACCTTGATCCTATTGATCAGAAATAGTTCGGGTGAAATTTTTATCAATCAATAAGCAATATCAACATTTTTCTTTCAACTTCTCGATCTGGACCATTGACCGTATTATGGTCCGGTGTGGACCAGACCGCATCGTTTCTTAACTTTAACACATACCATCCAATTCCTAAGTGAATGATATCATCCAAATCCATGTGTATGGTTGACAATCAATATGGATATCATCCAATTTTTAAGTTGATGGTGTCATCCATCATCATGGTAGTCATCCAATTTTTAATTGACTTGCATTGCCAACCTTACAACATGGTTACCATCCAAACCATCGCTTTGACATGGTGACGTGTATATGGTGGTTGGTTGTTATTGGGTGAGGAGCAAGCCCATTTGACCTAAGGCCCACCTCGTCAATAAATCCCATCAAAGGAAGCCCATAAGGTACCAAAGCCCAAGAAGAGACCATTGGATTTGGCGCCATGCATACGGCCAACGTCCCCGACGCGTATCGTATGTGCTAAATACACTCGAAGGCATAAAGTCAGCACTATCAGAACATTATGTAGTTGAAGCCTTGAAGGCATAGTTCCCAAAAGTAAAGTTCCTTATACACTTTAAACTAGCTTTATACCCGTCCGTTGGGCGGCAAATTTTAATTGGTCATTATATTTTTCATCCTAGTATTATAATTTTATTTATAATTCATTATGTTAAACTATTATACATTGAATTGTTAATCTCACTTACCAAAATTCATATATTGTTTCACATTTTTATATATTTCATTTATTTATGAAAATTTAATTTTATTAGATGAGCTCCCTCTAGTACTTTCTTTATTGATTTATAATTATGTATCGAATCCACCATTTAAGATATAAACTAAGAGATTATTAATTTTTTAGCACACAAAGTGACAAAGAAGTTAAAATTTTGAAGGACACAAAAGAAGAAGTTAAAATTTACAAAAATATTTCAATTAATAAAAAAAGTGAAGAGCTTTCTTTTTCTCAGCCTTCTCGTACGTTGGTATATGATAATAGAGAATATCGCGATCTAGATCCCACAAATATTAGTTACTCGTGTAATTTTGGAAGAATGAGAAACCACATTGGCATCCACATCATCAATCTTTCGGTTCTTCATTTAACCCCCTGCTACATACTATTTACTTGATCAGATCATCGTCATATAGCTAGCTAGTAACATGTCACTCATGAACATAATAAACATAATGAACAACTCTCACAACTCTACTTTCCATTTTAACATCTAAGGAATCGAGTTGCAATAGGCCTCCATGGAAAATAATCAAGTATTCAATCAAAGGAGAGATGCTCCAAGTCTCAAGCAACAAACCCTTTGAATTATATGTTACATGTTTACATCAAAGTATACAGGATAACAGAGAACCATAAAACAACTACCAAAATAACGAAGAAGAAATACAACCATTGAATCGAAAAGGGAAATTTACTATCCAGCCGCCGTAATCTGGAAGAAATTAAGAAAAGAATGGGAAGAAGACTATAACTCGGCCAGTCAACCGCTAGCAGTCAGATATCTCCGAGGAAGAAAGATCAATTGCCCGCTGCGGATCAAAAGAGAAGAGGGAGAAATGCTAGATTGGACTTTTCTTCGTCAATAGGCAAAAATATGTTAGAGTTGTTCAATTCTTTCCCAACAAATCATTGCATCATGTAACTCCAGCATCCTATTCTCCTACAAAGAGGAAAAAAACTCAATATGCCTTACCATTTCCTTTCCTATATCTATATACAAAAAAGCAGAGAAGACAAATTCTAGAAACTCAAAATTTAAGCAAATAAGAAGAGAGCTTTATTATTTTTTTGTGGAGTTTGATCTAGTTTCTTTATTATCAATGTTGTGTTTTATTTTCAATGTTGTATGGGAAAAGGAATAGGAACAAACCAGAATGTTGCATTCATTTTTATTAACTTAATTTAATTTTTATTGATAATGATGACAATTTAAAGAGTAAGCAAAAAAGCACACCAATTAAACCTTGTCCAGCGTCGAAGGGTGAGAGCTAGCCATGTACCGATGTGGCACTAAATTAGTTTTAGATTCCTACAATATTAAGTAATGATTATTTATGATTTCTTGGAATTTTTTTTATAAAATGTAATAACTCGTAGAAACTTGGTGACATTTTACATACATTTGAGTTCTTGAATGTATTGTAGACATATCTATTAATATCTAAGAATATGTATAACGATTTTATTTTAATTTTTAACCCTGATTAATACCTTTGAACTCGGCTCATCGACTGAAATATGAAATCGAAATTTTGTGGCTAGGATAACTCGATCTAATTACAAATTGCTTACTGTTACAAACCAAAAGATTTCCATTTTGAGACTTCGATATTGAAAAAGTTTTTGTTATTGCCAAAATTTGGTATGGAGTCACAGATTCACAACCATATAGCTGGGGTTGTTTGCTTGATGAATTTGGAGCTATCGTGAACTTTGTCCAATCATTGCTTGCGTCATGTATTTAGAGGCAACAAATATGTGGGTCTCATGTATTTTAAGGTTCCAAATTCGTGGGCCCCAAGGACTTGAAAATTTCACCTCTTTAGATGGAAATTGATCATGGACTTTGAAGTCTATATTTATGACCAACCTACTCCTCATAATTCATTTCCCTTCTCATACCAATGAGGGTAATATATGTCATTTTCACTTCCAACATACAAATTCTATTAACCAAATGCATCATGAAGTCTATGAAACGAAATATGGTATTTTCAAATCCATAATGAACAAAAAACCCTCATATATCCATGCTTTTACAAAATCCAAGTTTTATTAAAACTTTTAGTTTTCAAATCCACGAAACAAACGACCCCAATGTTTTATTACAATTGCCTTACTAAACTCATCATTATTAAAGATTCTTTATTTTAACACAATACATTAATTAGATTCTTGTAGCTACAAATTTTTTTTGTTTAGATATCTCAACTAACACACTTATGTTTATTTATTGCCTCAATCATCGAATTTAGATTTGTCTACCAAGACATCAATTATTAAATAAATTTTTTCAACCCCTTATTTGATCAATGCTAAGGTTAGTGGTTGATGAAACGTGATGTTTATCGTATATCCTCAACGGAGATTTTCTTAACCTTCACACCTGTTATTTTTTAAGTGATGTTGTGTCTCATCCTACGTATGAAGTCAAAACTCGTAAAAAATCCTACTTAAGTCATTTTGAAAACTTTGATGTAATAATTTCCACAATAACTCCAAATTTGAAAAGAAATTACTTAGCATTCGACTTATGACCTCAATAGAGATCGTTCAATTAATATGATCTAGAGTCAATATTTTAATATAAACCCTTGGACAAATTATAAATTATTGCACGCCTGATTCCTCTTAATTTGAGAAACTGAAGGTAGAACATGAATAAATATTTTCACTTAATCATGATGAATAAGAAGTTATTTTAAGAAAGAACTATTATTGCTTAGTCAAGTTTATATTCAGAACTTTTGCTATATAAGACTTTTTTTATTTGATAGAAATATATATTAGAAATAATTCGACAAAAAAAATACATTAGAAATAAGAGAGTTGTTAATACAAAAAAATCTAAATTCATATATATAATTTTCAAAGTCGATTGATAAAAATATTATTATATATGTGTCTATTTTTTTAATCATTTGTTTTCAATGTTTCTATTGTAATATTTTTTTAATTGATACAAATATTATTAGATATGTGTACTTTTTTAATCATTTGTTTTCAATGTTTCTATTTAATATTTTTCTTAATTGATACAATTATTATTATATATGTGTACTTTTTTAAGTTTTTGTCAAAATGTAACTTATTATTAAGTTATGGTGAAAATGAGTAAGAAAATTTACTTGATAAGATTTAATCATATACTTTTTATTTAGAAAAATTCGATATAGTCACTCTCTATTTCTATCTTTATATTTTTCAATTGACAAAAATATTATACTTTTGTGTGTTTGTTTACATTTTCATAAAAAGGTAATTTATTATTAATTTTTAGTGAAAATGAGTAGAAATATTAAAAGAAGAGAGAGATAGCTCCATAAATAGATCAATAATGAATTTTTTGTTTGCAAAAAAAGTTGTCCACCTTGGCAACTTGTGAATTCTCCAAGTGCTTATGTGGCGAGAAGTTAATTTTGAATTGCCATAATATATAGTATAGATAGATATAGATAGATAGATGACACTCTAATTATAGTGTTTATCACTGTCATATTTGATACATTTTTTCCTTCTATCACTACATCTTTAGTATATTTTGTCATGTTTTAGGTAGAAATAAGGACTATATGATCAATAATGTACTTTAAAAGATCTATTGTGTGTTTTTGTTTAATTTTATTCCTTTTTGTATCCTTTCGTGCTTTTCAACATCAAACAATCTCTTCTCAGTCAATTACTGCATTTTCACTCTATTTAATGTTAGATCTGCCGCTGTCTGTGACAAAAGCTCTTATTGAGAAAGCGACGATGACTTTGAATGAGAAAGCGACAGAGGTGGTGGAAGCTCTCATCGTCGATTTGACGGAACCTATGAGAGAGAGGTACTGATGTTGAAGGAGTAGGGGACTGACTAACTGAGGGGAGCGGTCGGCGTTTCGTTCAGCGGAAAAGAAAGGGGAGCGAGTTACGGGTCGGGTCACAGGTTGAGTTTATGGGTTGAGTTAGTTTTGATGATGTGGCGGGTTGAGTATAAATTTTTTTGGGTTAATATATGCTGACTGGACACTTCCATTAGCCACATCAGCAAAAAAATTGACCGTGTTAACTGAGACTGATGGAGAGTGACCAAACGTGAAACGTTTAACCACTTTCAATGACCATGAAAGGATTAAAATACTTTTAATGGTCATTAAAACGTGAATTTTTTAGAACTTCCAGTGACCAACCTTGCAATTTACCGGTAAACCTTCCTCATTTGATTAGTGATGATTGAGGGAAACATGAGAAACCAATCGCCATCCCATTATCAAAAGGTGAATCCAACAAAACGTTTTCATAGAATGGGAAACCGATCTCACCAGCAAACAACAATTCAGTAGGGGTGAAGAGTGGGGAAATAGGGCTAGGGTTTGTGGCCTGCTGACGGAAACTTGCTTAACCAAGTTTTGCAGTCACATCACCGTCTCTTCCCTTTGCAGATTGAAGTTGATCAATCTTGCTTGCTTGGCAATACCTGAAAATACATACAGATGGAACCCTCCAACGTTAGGGAACGGCATGAATAGAGTAACCATGGATTAAGCCAAATGACCAACTCGCTTCGGGAGCATATCGTAACTACTGCTTCACATGAACTGAAATGTTATTGATGCAAGATATCTGAACCAATCATGTCAACAGCTTGCGAGACTGAAACCTCATTTGCCAATAAGGTAGTACACAGTCATTACAATGCGTAAAATCCATAGCATGGATCAGCATACTGACCTCAGCTAGCATTAAGGTTATGACGAAAGACAAGAAACCATTTCCAACAGCTTAGTTCATTTGACCAGGGTAGAAGCAGTTGGAGTGATGAGGCGTTTTAAACGGCTGAAACTGCTGGAAACTGATGCTTTCATTGTCTTGTAAATCAAACAAGTTCCCCCGCGACTCCATGGGTGCATTTTCTGATGATGAGAGTGACCAACTTTGCGGTTCTGCAGGCATCATCGTCTGGCCCAGGCTTGTTTCGTTGGCGAGCATCAGATGGTCCAGAGGAGCTGAATCAGGAGGCTCATTCATACCCCAGGAGGAGGAATTGGTTGACAGAAGAGAGAGAGCACCCCCTAAATCAGGGTTCATCTCTAGGTTACAAGTCACTGCAGGCCCCTCCAAACCTGTACAGTATCGTCAACCCATTGTTGTTGTCAGATTAAGGGAAATTGTCCATCATTGAATCACGATCTGATTGAGTCTCAGCGGTAGCACAATCCAGTAATGAATAGGAAACGAACCTTGACTAAAGATCTGAGATGAACTGCCCTTGAAAGACAGACCCTTGTCTGAGATCATTGGTAAGGCAGATGTTGAATCATTCAACTCGTTAGACAAATCACTCATCTGCCTACTCATGCCTTCTGACTTCACATATCCAAGGAAAGAATCTCCTGCTTGGGCGAATTTATAACCCAAGCTAGTTGGCCAGGTGAAACTTTTTGCTGGTAGAGCGACCCTATTCAACATAGCATTCATCTGTCTTCTGTTATCTGTAGGAAGCCAAAATGAGGAGAATAGAAAAGGCAGAGAGCCATTAGAACACACAGCCAACTTCTGTTCCAATCGATACTTCAACTTTACTACGATCTTCATTCAGGAGAAAGCAAGGTTACACAGTTACCAGCTAACTTGTCATACAGTATCACACAATTTGATTAGAAGCGAACCAAAGGTTTTGTGAATTATTACCATATATCGTTGTAGACAGAGTTGAACCAAATTGGAGCGCCTCTGGCGGAGGCCTGCGACGGCGTGCATTGTGATCAGAAAGACGTCTACGACAGCTTCGCTTTTTTTCATCAAATTCTGACAACTCATGAAACCTAGAACCAGTTTTATCAGGAAGAATCTCACATCAACGTGCACCAAAACAAAAATAAGGGGTCATTTGGAGGTGGGATTTCTAAATAGACGGATTTTAGCAATCTCGAGATTTAAGTCGTCCTAGTCCTTTTTTTATTTCCTAATATAATGAGGACATAAAGTCTAATACTTCAGAAGTCAAGAAGTGGCAAAGTAGCTGCTGCAACTGCATTGTTAATGCTAAATAATGAAGGTCGACATGAAAACTTACCTACTGCACTGCTGGCAAAACCGGCGTTCCAGGCCAGCAACAATGACCTTGGGACTTTTTGAGTGGCTCTCACATATTCTATGCCTCCGGTGGTAATCTTTCGCTGACTTGAGGTCAAGGTTGCATCCTTCAACTTGACAGCATGGAGACTGTAAACTCTGACAAGAGGCCCTAGTTCTCTTAGGTGCAGCAACAGAGGAGCTTGCAATCACAGAAGAAGAGGACGACGATGACTTGGTGTTTCCAGGTGTACATACATCTTCAAAATACGTCCTTTTACCAAGCTTCAGACCAATCACGTGTTCCCCAGAGCCGGCAGAAGCATCCACAGGTGAAACACTCTCAACATTTCCCACAATGCTCAAATGGTTCCTACTGATACGGTCAGGAAGTCCTTCCACAGAGCTCTTGGATGAAGAGCCATGTCCTGAATCAGAGCCTGAAAAACCACCACCACATCCAGGTGAATAGAGGTATCCACTATTCATCCCTCCAAGTCCTTCTTCAGCATCATCATGGGTTAAGAAGTGCTTCACTTGTTTCTGAGTGCCACATGCCTTAGAGCTGAACCCAATTATGTTATCCCAGTCCCAATCAGATGCAGCCTTCAAGTTCCACTCCATAACAAGAGAAGTAGTGGGTACAGATTGAGAGGAAAAAGTGTTGTTCTTTTCAATATGACGCATTTACAGTTGTTTTCACAAATACACCTACTCTATTCCCATTCTAAGCATTCATAGTTCAAAATAGCAAATTACAGCAAACTGGAATGAAGCAGCAAAAGTCAGGAAAGCTGGAATGCAGAAGGACCCTTGATTGTTATGCTTTGCAGGTTGGAAGCTTTTCCTCAGTCTACATGTACAAGATAGACAACAAGAAAAACAGGATACGGAGTAAATTTCATCTCCAGTAACTTAACGGAAGTGGAGAATAACTTAAAGCACGAACCTTTAGGTTGCAGCTGTTTCTTCTTCCAGAACCCAGAGTTGAGAATTGAGATACAACAGGTTTCAGGAGAAACTTCTGATGTCCCCTTCAAGGAAAACAGATTACCAACCTCTCTCCGCCTAATTTTTAAAGGGGGCTCGAGGTACAACAGAAGTGAAGATGATGAAAACCAACAGGAAAAAAAAAAGAGTCCTTTGTCCCAGAAAAAAAGGATGTCACTTTCAGGCGAGATGATTAATCTACTTTCCCACCAAGCAAACAAGTGGAATTAAATTTGTCAGAGGTGTCTTCATGTGGATCTTCCCCCTTCCCATTTTGACCAAGACAATAACACTTAGCACATGCCACCCGAATGGTCACAATACCCCCACCACCAGCCACAAATTCACCGCTGCAGCACAGGTAATAAAATCACCCACCAGCCTCCATCCAAGCAGAATCCTACTCAGACAGCACCAAAAGAATTCAGAACCACATCAGTAAAGAATATACCATATCCGACAATCCAAACTTTAACAGCAGATTCTTACCGTCTCCTCTCCAATCAATAGTAGCACTTGAGTCAGAACTCCTGCTAGAAATTGTACCAGAACCATAGATTTCAAGGGAAACTAGCATCTTCCTATTTTAACACACCAAAAGTTTGGAAAGAAAGAAAAAGTACAACAATTCCTACAACAACATTCTCCATAATCATAATCTTTAGCACAAATATTCCGAAGAAATCAGGCCAGTAACATAAACTTTATTCATTTAAGAATAGAACCCATCCATTTGAACAGTATCAAACCATCAGACAGCTGTTCAGATCTCTAGCAACTGACACTCTCATCATTCCAGGGAAGTGGTAATAACTAATAAGCTACCCAGGACAGGGTTTTTTGTCATGAATATTTACTGGCCTTAAAACAACAGGTAAAAGAAAAGCATTTCAGTCCACAAGTCAAGCCACATTTACAGCATGGGGACCTCATAGACAGAGTGATCAATTCTGTCACTTCACTATCAAACAACTACAACTCAAAATTATTAATTGCTCTCCTCCAACGAGCTTGGCATTCTTCATATACCCACATGTCCAGTGGATTGATGAACATGATATAGCTTACCCTAGCGAAATTGTAGGGTAGATAGATGGGCTTGTAAGCTCCATAGTCCACAATAACGACAAAGCAACCAGGCATCCTTTCCTACATTAAGTCTTTGTATTCCATTCGTCTAGGAATTGGACCATGCAACACGTTTCTATACTGGTCCTGCACTTATAGAAAGCAGCAGTGTGAATCTTTGAATTTCAAGTCTATAGATGTGAGTTCCTCTTCAAAGCTACTTCTTTGACTAACCCTTCTTGCCAAAAACTCCTTAGCAAATTACTTGCTACAAATTTGAGCATCCACGCGAGCTCTTATACCACCTTGGTTTATTTGTTTCTATTATACTGCTCAGATGCACAAAATGGTAACACAGTCCTTGAGATGTAAACGATGTTATCAATCAGATGGACAGTTATCTAGACCAATAGGCTCACTTGTTGAAAGGCAATTAACACTTCCATCTCTGACTCCAGTCCAAGTTCCATCCCAAACCACATATATTGCTTTCCCCTTTCCTTCTCTTCTCAAGGAACCACATATCTTTTGAGATGGGGGGATTCACAAAGGTCTCAATTATCACTTCCTTTTCCATGACATGGACACATACACACATGAATGCCCATACATGTCAAATGGCAAGAAATTTTTTTTTCTGCCCAAGCACCAGTACCCCATCATTCATTGAATTCCATCCATAAAAGGGCCCATCCTAACCTTCCTCCTTTAGTTACCCTCATCTCTACATCCTACCCTTTACATCCACATAATGCACCCAAACCGACAAAGAAAAGGAAGCTAGAGGGTTTCTCCAATGTGAAGTTACACAAATTCCGGTAGAAAGGAAAACCAAAAGGCAATAACAACCAGAACCCATTGGACACAATTATGCACAGCCAAACACAATTTCGGATTAACTGGATGAAAGTTAAAAAATACTGCTAAGAGAAAGAAAACTTATTTCCAGAAACGAAATTGGTAGCTCGATCACATCACAAGGCACCCATGTCAGGAACCCATGAGAGAAGCAATAAGGGATTGGAATGGAAGACCCACCACCATTATCAAGGCTGTTTCTGCTTGTGCTTTTCACATACGAAATGAATGAATGAATGAAGTGAACACACCCCCAGACAGATCATATGAATGTATAAATGGAGTTGCAGGGAACTTACAACTCGCTCAACGAGAGCAGAGGAGGTGCTGAGCCGACTCAGAATCCCAGGACCGAGTTGAAAACGAGCAAAGAGGGTGGCGGCCGAGTGGACTCGGGCGAGTGGTGTTGCTGCCATAAGTGGAAAGAGAGAGAGAAGAGCAGAAGAGAAAGAAACCACCCTTTGGCCGTTCATCTGTTGCTATTTATAGTAAAAAAACGAAATTAATATTGTTGCAAAAACGGTTGGGCAATCAATTAACGAGTTGTAAAACTGGTTTAGACCGTTATGACAAATTGACAATTAGACAAGTGGTGTGCTATAATTAGTGGTATAATCGGTTTACTAGAGTTCATGTCTACAATATTTCAAGTGAAAAATCTCATATTCATAAAAAAAAATTCATATTTAAATACAACATTGAACGCCAACATCCAAAAATTTATACTTCACTCAAACAAATAACATCAACATCTTACTTTCAATTCAAGAAACAAATAAAAAATTATTTGTTATAAATTAAATCCACCAAAATGGCATCATTTTGTTTAAAGGTCATAAATCGATCATGTCACTCGCACCAGGGACATTCCATGATTCCATATGATTTTGTAATCGGTACTAGTTAAACCCGATTCTACCACCTGACATGACAACCATGATTTTGAAAGGATATAATTTTTTCCCTGACAATGACGGATTGAATGTTTTGATGAATAAGTAGAGGAAAGTTCAAAATCGAAAAGAGAGTAAGTAATTAATGTATAATGTAACATGACAAAACTTTTTCCTACCAAGATATTGTCCGCTTTGGTCTAGCTCCACTTGATTTTCGCTTTGGGGTGCATATCAATGTGACTTCCGAGAGTTTATCTATCCTTGCGTTGCTCCACAACGAGCACGTTTAATTTCGTAGTTCTTAGAATAACTCTTTCATTTCACCCCCAAAACACGTTTTGTTAGTTAATGTCGGTTTCTTACTTATGAATCATGAATCTTTTACGTGCTTTGTCGATGCGAGATTTGTCTAGCGTGTTACATACCACCCCACCCCCCCTCCCCCACCAAGGAGGGTTGCCTCACCATCGACCAAGAGGGACGCAGAGAGGCGCTAGTATCACTTGTAAGTTGTAACGTCTCGAGCATTTTTCTGACCACAATATTGTCTGCTTTGGGGTGCATATCAATGTGCCTTCGTCAGAGACTATCCATCCTTACATTGTTCCACAACAAGCAGCTTGAACTTCAGAGCACTTACAATAATTTTTCCATTTCACCCCAAAATGCATCTTGCTAGTTAAAGTCGGTTTCTTACTCAAGAATTATGAATCTCTCGTGTGCTCTTGTCGATGTGAGATTTGCATAATGTGTTTCAGAATAAGGTATATTAGCATTGGTTATGTTTGATCTTTTTCTAATCTTGGATTCTTTGGGGGTAAAACAGCAAAAGTACAAAGGAGGACCACAGTTCATATTTTACCTGTTTGCTATTTGCCCATAATTTTTAACAAACTGTACTTACCCTTCTGTACAAATCTTTAGTTCAACAGAGTTTGAGCTGGTAAAAACTAGAACTCAAAACTGGATACACATACAGCAGGCTACAGATTCGATCCCACAGTTGTGATGGCGCAATGTGGACCACAGAAAGTTTGTGCTTGAGATGCCCACAAAGGAGACAGGAGAGGACCAACCCAACCCTATAGCTTTTAAAATTTCAATGCTCTCTGGTTACAAAAATGGAGGAAGAATTTGGTTCTGTTAGGTGCTCCATTTTATCCTCCCATTGCAAGCGAACCTAAACAATGCTCGAAAGATAGCAATGCTTGGATTCCATGAGTGAATAGGAAGTTAGATCTGTGTGGAGTACAACATTAATCAATATAGTTAAGATTCATACCCAAAATCAGAAGTAAACTACTCTACCGTTCGGTCACTCTCTCGTTGGCCTTGATACTTCATCAGTTTTCACATATTCATAACTTCTTTCTATTTCGCGTACATCCCCAAACCAACAGGAACTTTGAAGGTCACTTGTATAATGATACACCTCCCACTAAACAAAAGCAGCTGCAGTATCAGCCAAAAGGGTATGAAGAAATCATAATGACGTTTCTGTACATCCCATTTGGGACAATTGTAGTGGCCTTCTAATGTACTATTTGTACTCCCCCCCCTGAGAACAGTTTCATCCATTCTACAGTGCTGCAGATACTATAGCAGAAAACTGGCCAGGCTATGAACCAACAATGTACCTTGGTAGCTGCGGTGAAGGCAAAGAATTGAGGTACAGTAGATTGTTTATTACCTAGCTTGTCTACCCTGATGAGGTAAAAGAGCAAAAGAACAGATCATGTTTCCAGTTCAGCATCATTTCTCTGCAGAGGTTGCATTTTCTCTAGTGACGCTTCATTTCTTGAAATATGTTCGCCACCTTTGGTGATAATCTTGGCAGGAACTTGAACATCTGCAGCAAGAGAGGAGGCACCAATTTGAATTTTGTAAACAATGGTTGTGTAGCTGACATTAATTGAGCAACAATAACACATTCATGAAGAACTTATAGTAATGAGTTCAAAGCAGAGAAGAGGATGTGCTGCTGGGAACACACACATGCAAAAGCAAATGGTTCATTCTACCATCTCTCATCAGACAATTTAATGCAATTCAATTCTCATTCACCTGTTTCTTCAGTCTCGTTGCTAGGACGAAACTGCAGATAGTTCCCGATAAGAAATTGGAAAAAACCGACCATTCTGTTTCCCACTTCCGCAGTAAAAATTGGTAAGCACTTTACCCGGTGGCTGGGACTAATCTATTCCTATGGTTGGTGCACTTGTCAGTCAATCATATACAAACCAATAGCATGAGAAGGAAAACTCTCATATTCTCAACCCTACTGAGAATCTAATTTGGACAAATGGTTTATTGAAGCACTTCATCCTTGAAACTCCAAATCCTGAGGCACCCAAAAAGGAAACTACATACACCCACCGCTAAGAGACCGGAACCACTGCAAGCAACCATCAGTTGCATAGTGCAAGCGTTATAGATGCATGTTTTGTCCAAGAACATACCTAATGACGTATATGATCTCAAACGTAATATTTCAGTAAACCATAACTCTAGTTCAAAATCTTCCTTTCATTTTCTGGATCACCCCAAAACTATAATGTTCTTCCTCAACAACACCTAAGAAATATTAGATTATAGCGATCAAAATGCACAAGGATCATTTCGTCCAAATCACAGGCATTCTAGTGTAAGCAAGGTACCTGATTATCCATAAATATGAGAAATAACTGTTCACCAATACAAATAGGTTATCTAAATGCTTTGCCTTCGTGAGTGAGCCTCAGATGAACACTACATTTCATGCAGCGACTTCCATATAATTACTTAAACGTACAGAACGATCAAACCAACAACAAATATTCATGACTTCACTGACTCTAGCTGCAAATTGTCCGATCATAATAAACCAACCACAAATGGATGTGATCCTAATAATTGCATGTCAGATGCAGAAGAACTGCCAAGAAGCCGATCATCGTTCATACCGAAAAAATGTTGACTCAATAGGAAATGAAGCACAAGAACATAAATATGATATTTCCATTTTGAATAAATCTAAAAAGTTCTTCAAAATCATAAGTGAAATAATGTCAAACATCCATAGCAGAAGCGAACTCGGTCATTCTGAAGGAAACAGACTTTGAAGAAGCTCAAAACCTAAACCTCCATGGCACAACATAAAAGATTCTATAGACTAATTAGGAAATAACTCTGGATCAATACTTACTTCCAATGTACAACTCTTTATTTCCTTAAGAACAGTTAACTACTAAAGTTAAGCATTAATTCATCATTGATTAAAAAGCAGTTTTCTCCCGATCCCTCCATCCCTCCATCGTTAGAACTCGCTTTTGGCCAGAAAAGGGGGAGAGGGAGCCCGCTCCCTCCCTCCCTCCCTCTTAGAACTCGCTTTTAGCCCAAGAGACCACCCAGCCCTCCACAAAACTGTAAAAGCTTTATCTAACTTAGTATAGTTAAGATTCAGGTTCTCTTCACATTTTTGCATGTGGCCATGCAGGTCATTGTTCTGCTTTCGAGAGTCTGGAGTTCGGACAAAAGAAAGCATTTATAATCACAACGATAACCATTTTGTGCTGCTAAAAGCTAGCTAATTAATATATTGTGTTCATAAAATATGGAGAATAATAAATGGACCAAATGGCAACTGATATGAAGACTGTAAAGTGCAGAAGATTGTTACATATGACTTCTACAATAAACAATTGCAAACATCAGGCAATGAAGTGATCACAACAATTGAGTAAAAAGATAAAGAGTCTAGATTAGAACATACCCAAAGCTTCACACATGCATCAATGACAACAGGAACAAAGCAGACAAAAATGGTGATAGTGGACGGATCAACTTGAAGCCCATAGTGCTCAACAAATACTTCCAACAACGTCTCCCAGCCAGATTCCGAATGGTACCTGAGGGGGTTTATTTGTCATAGAAACAAGAACTCATTACGGTGTGGTTAGAGACCAGGCAAAAGTTTTAGTTTTACGATTAAGTAAACGCGAGGAGGCGTCATGAAGAGCAAGTGAAAATAGCAGTAGATAGGTAAGTATAGAGGAAAAAGCTCAAATAACATGGAATCATTTGGTGAAAAGGAATAGAGTTGAGAATAAACTTTTTAAGTTATTTTGTAAAATTGACTTCGCAGTCAACAAGTGATGCTGTTTTGTAAATTTCAACAAGATTCTGCTTAAGATGAATCAAATATTCTAAGTGAAATCCCAATAAGAAGTGTTCATTGGAGAGTAGGAGATTATTACCCTAAAAAAATATCTGTGATGAGTATAATCATAAATGCCTTCCCTGTATCAGTTACATTATTAAGTATTTTGTATCCTGTGAACTTCAACAAAGCTACCTGCACCAAGGAGACAAAAGTTAAGGCCTAAAAACATGACCTCGTTAATAGTTACATTACATCAGATCATAAGGATCGAAAAAAATTTCAACTTCAAAGTCTCTAGATAAACAGAACAAACTTGTGTTTGCCCCTACAGTGGGAAATGAGAGAGGACTGAGATTAGCAGGATGGAGTTGCATGAGATAATACAACCGAAGTTAAAAGTTGAGATGGAAGGAAATGAATGAATGATAACATTACATTCTGATTGTGGATGTTGTCGAGTTCAACTAAATGTTTGATGATAGATAACTAGTAAAGAAATTACATAATAGATGATGAAATGTTAAAGGAAGATAAGGACATAAACCAAAATGAACAGGGAATATACACACCAAACATTCAACTTTAAGCTACAAGGCTTTATGCGGAGATAGGGGCTTAGGTACTCACTTTATTCTGATTGAAGTACAAAAGCAAGAACAATGAGATCCCAAATACCATATCGGACCATATGTTTGCGAATGCGGTACGATTTTCTAACCTCCACTCATCTTGTAACTCTAACCTGCTCAAATAGCAAAGCTCAGCTAATAAGAGTCGCTTTTGTCAACGGAAAAAGTGTGCACTCTGGAGTCAATTCAAAAATTATTTGGAGATAGATCACTGATGACAAATTGAGGGACAAACTTCAGGCCAATTGATGAATTCGGGACCGTTGCTAAGACTGGTGGAACACGACCACATTTCATATTGCAAAACGTCTTCAGTTATTTTCTGTTAGAAACCGAGTTATCTAGGGTTTCTATATTTATTATTTTAATTATTATTAGGGTAAGTCTTATTAAGGTTAGTAGTCATTTAATAGAATTAGGTTTATTGTTAGGGTTTTCCAGTCTTTCGTTATAAATATGTACTTTGCGTTTTATTAAGAAAAATCAAGAAAGAATTATCAAAGAATCTCCTAAACCCTAATCTCCCTATCTTCCCCATTCTCGATCTCAATCCCTCTAAAGGCCTAGGCCGATTCTCTTCTGTTCTTCCCCAATTCTTCCCCAATTCTTTCCCAAATCCCTAATTCTATCTTCTCAATCCCTAAATTCCCAAATATCACCCAATTCAAATCCCGTTAGAAACTTTGTTTCTAACATCTGGTATCAGAGCCCCGTTCCGATCTGCGAGTTCTTCCCAACTCCATCAGGGACAGCTTAGAAACCAGAGAATCAGCGATGGAAAAATCAGAACTGTCATGGGCTCAGAAGCGAGAGAGGCTGTGGCAGATCGCGGATTATTGGAGGAAGGAGGCAGCGGCGTTCGGGCAGGCCGGCCGAGGCGAGGAGGTTGCCGCGCGGCAGGCGGCGGCGCGCGCGACGTCCGAGGGCGGCGCGGGGCAGAGCCCGATCGTCGGGGCTGGCCGGGAAGCGCCGGGGAGCGCGCGACCAGCGGGGGACGAGGCGGCGACAGGCCTGGCTGCGTCGCCAGAGCTGGAGAAGGAAGCGTCGAAGATGACGCGGGGCGTTGCCGGGATTTTTCGCCGGCGGTTCAGCTCGACGAAGGAGGTAACAGAGAGGGAGAGATACGCCGGCAGCATCCTCTGTCCGTCGTCGAATACGGCGTCGGCGGCAGCCCGAATCATGCAGACGTCGGGATCTGATGTCGAGGCGACGACGGAACTGAAGGCGGCGGCGGCGGCGGGCTGGCCTCGTGGTCGTCGAGTATCGCCGAGGGAAGACGCGACGACGGAGAGGGAGGGGAGGAAGCTGTCGTCGGAGCTGAAGACAGCTGCCGGGTCGGGTGGTTCGCCGCCGAGGGATGAGGAGTCGAAGAAAGCGGCGTCGAAGAAGAAGGAGGGCGGCGGCCGCAACCCTCTGCCTCTGCCTCTCGTGAACCCTAGGCGGCAGCTACAGGTGGAGTTGGGCCGAGAAGACTTGGGTCGCACAGCTGGGTTCACGTTGGGCCGAGTTTGGTTGAACCAGCAGGGCGAACCGACGCTCGAATGGAGCTGGGCCGAAGCGGGCCAAAGTTATGGACTGGTCTTGGGAAAGAAAATGGTTGGGCTTAGATCAAGACACACAGAGCAATTAAGCGAGCTTAAAAGGAGCCCATTGGTTAAGTCTGTTTTGTTTAGATTTGGGCCGAGTTTCCAGGAGGATTATGGGCCATCAATGGGCTATCTTGTTGGATTTGTTTTGCAAGAAATGGAAGATGAATTCATGGGCTTAGAGGATGGGCTCAAAGAAGAAAGACTCTATGATTCTTATATTGTGGAGTTTGAAAAGGATGATGGAGGGATATTTGATCATGGTTGCAACCTGCGTCACGTGGATTGGGAAGAGGCCATTGGAGTCGGAGTCGCTGGTGTGGGTTTCATTCGAGCAGTGGAGCACAATTGGAAGACACGAAAGCGCAAGGAGTGGAGAAGACAAAACGCGGATTGCGCGGGAGATGTGAAGAAATGGGTCGAGTCGATCAACCTTGAGGGCAAGGTTGGTCTGAAGGGGGAGGAGATGTTAGAAACCGAGTTATCTAGGGTTTCTATATTTATTATTTTAATTATTATTAGGGTAAGTCTTATTAAGGTTAGTAGTCATTTAATAGAATTAGGTTTATTGTTAGGGTTTTCCAGTCTTTCGTTATAAATATGTACTTTGCGTTTTATTAAGAAAAATCAAGAAAGAATTATCAAAGAATCTCCTAAACCCTAATCTCCCTATCTTCCCCATTCTCGATCTCAATCCCTCTAAAGGCCTAGGCCGATTCTCTTCTGTTCTTCCCCAATTCTTCCCCAATTCTTTCCCAAATCCCTAATTCTATCTTCTCAATCCCTAAATTCCCAAATATCACCCAATTCAAATCCCGTTAGAAACTTTGTTTCTAACATTTTCACTCTACAACAGAAATAAAAATGGGACGAGTAAAACTCACGCTTTGTGACGCAACTCCAACCAAACTTCATCATCCGAAAGTGGTGGAGCTACACCCATCTCTACCTCAAGTCGCAATCTGGCTTTTTCCTTTCTCAGTTCCTTCACCATCTCAAGCTTTTGATCTTTTCTGACATCAAGCATTTCTGCTGCAAGTGGCACAGTCTTCACATATCTGTTCAGGGAAAATGTCAATACACTTGGAATACACCATGCATTCAGAATGTCAAGTTCACTAAGTTCGGAAAAATAGCTGATCCATATCCAGAGGACATTATGCAGTAGTTACTTGATCCTAGCTAAACTCAGTTTTTAATATATCCAGATTAATGCTAAAAGCTGGTTTCAATCAGTGTATACAGCAGAGTCTCATAAATTAAATCATTGCCTCTGCTGGCACATTTTGATTGTCACACTGGGAAAAACTATTAACAGTACGTTGGAAATGGTTGACAAATTACCTGTCCAGAAAGGGCATGAGAACATAGTCATGAACCGCGAAGTCAAGAACCCACGGAATGAGAATCAGTACTGCCAAATATTTTGCCTATAATAAGAAAAGTAGGAATTTGATATTCAGTTTTAGGATTCACCAAAAGCACAACATGAATGAATTAGCACCGAACCTATGATATAACAAATTATAAAATATGACAGCAAACCATCAGCACTCTTACAGAAGGAATCACTCTTAAGTAGTGGAAAATGAAACTTTATCTTGTTCATAATTCAAGACTCTAATTCCTAAGACAGCATTGAAACAAAATGTGTAAGAAAGGCATGCAAACGTATTCTTATCAATTAACATTGCCTCATTCAAAGAAAAGCTTCCAATGCCACTTCAACGAAATGCAATGAGAATCTAGCACAAAATCGGCCACATGGACATAAAGCAAGGCCAAGTAATCATTCAAACAATTGTCTACGTAAGTTCTAACTCACTGAATTCAAAGAAGCAAATCGAAAAACGCGATCTTCATAAAGCAAATCTTCATCGTCCTTCCCCAGAACCATTTCCTTAACAGATTGAACAAAATCGTTCCGCGGCACCAAGTCACTAGGATCAAACTCCGACTCTTCTCCCCCTGACCTATTCCCAATGCCGCCGCCATTTCCATTGAGCTCCCGTGGACTCCACCAAGAACCATTGCCATAATAACCATCACTTGAACTCCCCACGTCATCAACAATCCAATCCTCCCATCTTCTGCTCTCCTCATTCAACATGTCCTCTTGGGCTTCCCTCAACTCCACAATCGCTTCCGCTCTCCTCTTCCAAGCATCGAATTTCTCCGCTTCCGACAACTTCTCCTCCACCTCGTCACTCGAAGAACCTTCTTCAGTCACCTGATCTTCTAACATATCATCTTCCTTCAAACCCAGCCAATTTCCCTCATCGTCGAAGAAAAACCTCTGCCACCAGCTCCTCCTCCTTCCCCTCGTCTTCTTTGATTGTCTCTTCCCATTCTCCTTGCAATTCGGGACGAACCCACCATACTTCCTCTCCAAATGACTCCCCCGGGGCAGGAAATTGGAGGAAGCAAGCGAATTCCGACGAAAGGAAGTTTGGTTGATGAGTCCTAAGTTTTGGGATAAAAGCAATGAAGTGGTCATCAAGTACTGGTAGCGATAACGAAAGGAACCCACATCTTCTTTCTATTTATGGCACTGTTGCTCAGATCAAAATCCTTAACAATCTCCAATGGCTGCTCCACAAAGCCCTTAAACTCTCGGGTCTGAGCGAGGGAATCAGTGTGTCATTAAATGGGAAGGAGTGAAGAGAGGCGGAATTCTAACTATTCCAGAACACTAAACGCCTAGTAAAGCAAGCAGTGAGACGAGGGGAAAGGGATGGGCTGAAGCAAAGCTGTGAACTATGGCTTTGGACTGAAGCAGAGGCTGAAGAAAACCGCTATGGATCAGTGACGGGGGAAAAGGAGAAACTGGAGAAAGACGAAGAAGGATAACGGTTTACAGATAAGGGAGCGGATCGCGTCTCGTTTCTAGAATCTTGATTACCCGCCAATCTGTACTTATAAAACCCTTGGATCGGAGTAATTAATTTTCAGCCGTTGGATCTCCTTAAGTTAATGGTTTTGGATGAGATTAGTGACCCCAAAAACTTGGTGGTAGTTTTTGTAATTAACCCATAATTCACAAAGCATTGTGCCAACCCAAAACCCTCGTTGGCTAAACCCTAGCGAATCTGTCTGTCCCCTTTCTGCACAAGACCTTCTTCTTCCTCCTTCAACCCCACTTCCCGAGTTTATCTGCGTCGACTCACCGAACTTCGAAAATGGCGGACACAGTGCAGTACCGCCTGGAGCGCATGGTCGAGGAGCTTGACGACCTAGAACGTAGAGGATTGTTCACCCGACGCGAGATAGCCGAGATTGTCAAGCAGAGGCGGAAGTTCGAGTACAGATTGAAGCGCCCCAGTCCTCTAAAGCAGGATTACTTGGCCTACATAGATTACGAGACCCAGCTCGATACGCTTCGCCGCCTTCGCAAGAAATCCGTGTCCCGGGACCTCGACAAGAAGAAGGATAGCAAGAGGGTGAAACTCTCGGTCTCCGATTTCGCCGGAGTTTCGAGGATAGTGGAGATTTATCGCCTCGCCGTGCTGAGATACAAGGGAGATGTCGACCTCTGGCTTCGTTATTTGGAGTTCTGTAGGGAGCGGAGTAATGGTAGAATGAAGAAGGTACTATATGTGTCATTTCAGCTTTTTGGGGCTGTGGTTCCTATTTGGTTGATTCTTTGATGACATGATATTCTAGATTCTTCTCGTCATTGTGTAAGCGATGGAGAATGTGATGAAAATGGTCATTTGATTTTGGTGTTGTTTGAAATGGGACCTCTGCTTCTCTTTATTGCTTGGTTTGCATAGTTGAACTAGGAGGAGAGCAAAGCACTGGAGCTCCAACGTTACTTTCATTTCTGAACTCTTACTATAGAGAGCTTGATTGTGAAAGACCGGAGGAAGGAAAGAAGTGCTTCTAATTTTTGGTTTCTCCAATTTGACATTGTGCAAGCTCCATATTAATTCGGAAAGATCAGACCAAATGGTTCTGTTCTCGCGTTGTGTTTTGTTGGTTGCGGCTGCCATTCCTGCGCTCAAGTTGCATCCTTTTTCTGTGCAGGTCCTAGCTCAACTAATTAGATTTCATCCGAAGGTTCCAGGAGTTTGGATTTATGCTGCAGCATGGGAATTTGACCATAATTTGAATGTTGCAGCAGCTCGTGCCCTTATGCAAAGTGGTTTGAGAGTTTGCCCAACTTCAGAGGACCTCTGGGTAGAATATCTCCGGATGGAGCTCACATATCTCAACAAGTTGAAAGCAAGAAAGATTGCTCTTGGAGAAGGCAAGGGAAGTCTGGTTCGTGAAGATGGAGATGCTGGTGGAAAAGAGTGGAGAGATGATAACAAAGATTTATTCGTGTCACTTGATGAGGAAAGAAAAAATGGCGATGGATCAAACACTGACAATAAGGAGTCTGAGGATAAAGTAGATATATTTAAGGAGCAAGGTCTGAACATTCTCCAGGCAGTGTATAGTGGCGCAGTGGAAGCATTGCCTTTAAATTTTAGCCTTAGAGAACGGTTACTCGAGATATTGGAAGCCACAGACTTGGCAAATTCAGAAGACATGCGCGAACGGATCCTAAGTGATATGAAAAGAGACTTTTCAAAAGATCCCAAATATTGGGAATGGCTTGCTAGACTCGAATTGAGAAACTCTAAAAGTGACGAAGGAATAAGCGATGATGTCACGCTTAAGCAACTACAAAAGGCAGTGAAGGTACAAACCCCCTGTAATTCTACTCACTTGATTATCAACGAAAGTTAAGAACTTCCACATATTGGGTTTTGCCTTCCAATTTATATAAATGCATTGCTTTCGAGATATCATATTTGTTATTTGCTGTTTGCAGGTATATGAAGAGGCTTTAGAAGTTGTGCCTTGTTCTGTCATGTTTGACTTGTACACAAAATTCTTGATGGATATTATTGTCCCCAAAGATGGAAACGTGCAGTTGTGTGATTGTACAGAAGATTGGATTTCACACCTTTTGACAGCATATGAGAAGGCTAAGCTAGTAGGGTGCATGTCAGAGGATCTAGCTTGCAAATATGCTTCATTACATTTGCAATTGGGAAGATTTGATGAAGCCCGAAAACTGGCAGGAGAGCTTTGCAGTGGAGATCTTTCAAATTCATCCCAGTTATGGCTCTTAAGGGCCTCCATGGAAATTAGACATTTCACAAAGGATGTTCTTTCGCAAAGTAAGGCCAGCTTGGATTCCATATTTTTTCTAGTTAGAGATGCATTGACTAAAGTGCCACTGTCAAAGTCGGAGGAACTCTGGCTCATGGTATGCTTCTGTACCTTTGCATTTTGCTGACTTAACTTTTTTCGTCCAATTTATGATTATTTTAATGGCTATGTTAGCTACTGCTGAGATCACACATCAGAGAATTCACTGCTTGAAAGAGATATTCTGGATCATTAATTCATCTCATGGAAACATAACTGGATTGAATAGGGATACATCCTTGTAAACTTGTGTGTAGGTTACAAATTGACGTGTTCTACTATTCTCTTTTTGTAATCATTGTTCTTCTTTTACTCTTCTTGGACTGCAGGCACTCAAGTTCTTTGCTCTTGAAAAGGATTACTCTGATAAGTTGGTTGAGATGTCTATTACTGCAGTAGCTAAAGGTGGTGGCAGTGATTATGGGTTCTCTCTCTCTTCTGCTGTAGTAAATTTTATCCTCCACAAGGATGGGATCCATGATGCTAGGAAAATATATGAGAGGTATATGCTTTAGCTTATGGATGTCAAGCAACTCTTCTCACAATTTGCACAAAAAGTTCATTTCATATTCAAATCAAATTACTCATGTGAACTGAAAACCTTGTGAACTCTGACCTTCATTGTGCTAATATGCAGATTTCTTGCCCTTCCTCACCCAGACCTTTCTTTGTATAGAAAGTGCATTGAATTGGAACAGAACGTTGCCTCTCTTGGTGACAAGCAATGCCTTGTAAATGCTCGGAAGTTGTATGAATCTGCACTCTCAACTTACGACCAGGACTCAAGTTTGTGGCGAGATTACTATTCAATGGAAATTAAGGTAAATGCTGGCTTTGCTTTTCATCACTTGGTCAAAATCGTACACAAATCCTTTTTGTTAGACAAGCAGTTTCCTACTTAATTTTACTGCACAACCCCCTTGGCATTTTGGATTACTTATGCCTCAGTAATGCCATCGGTTTTGGCCTGAACCACCTTGAACTGCACCTGCACATGTGCCGCAACCCTCTCTGCACCATACCAACAATCGGTTTGGCTCGATGCAAGCATTTTGGTTCAGTTTCAACTTTCAAACACAAAGTCAACAAAAATATAAAAGGCCCCAGATCATTTTTCTTCTTCTGCCCATTTAGATTGCATCTTCATGGTGAAAAACCGCGCTGAATTAGATTGGCTATGGGTGTGCGGTCAGGTGCTGCTAGATACAAGTGTTCATGCAATTTAGTTGACCGAAAATGCGGTCTTGCCTGGTTTAAGACGCACCTGGCGCCGACAATTACCCCATATTTGATACATTGGTGGTAGATGTTCTGTGAGTGTCGGAAGCTTGACCAATATTTGCTGATTTGTGTTGCAGCTGGGAACGTCAGAGACGGCAAATGCTGTGCATTGGCGAGCAAGGAAGACACACAATGCTGCGGCTTTGATAGCTTCTCCTGACGTTGTATTATGATTTACTGCAGTGCACACATCATGTCCCCGAAAAAAGAATTTTGGCCAACCAACCATTTTTGTACCCTTATTGCTTAGTTGAGAAATGAAAGTCGAAGCCTCATAAGTTAAGTGAGCAAGTTTTCCGAAATTGTACCGTTTTCTTTGCTCTCAATCCGTGGTTCTAAAGGTTGCTAATGTAAAGGAGAAAAGACTTATTTTCTTTTCTCTCCTTCCACAAATTGCACGAATCCACCAAATGTTGTATATTTGTGTGGCTGCAGTGAGAGGGTCTTAAGAATGGTAGAATATCTTTATCTGCTGAAACACTTCTGTTCTTCTTTCAGTGTTTGTGCTGCAAATCTCAACCCCATGTCGCAGTTTTTAAGCGGTAATTGTTAGGACTTAGGATGTCTAAAATAAGACATAGCGTCAACAAAGACGACGACCTTCGATGGGTTGCGGGCTTGTAACTCTTGTTCAAGTTAAGAGTTCAAGATTTTCGAGTTCCGAAGAGTTCAATATTAATTCGAAGATTTATTGAACAGAATCTGCGCTTTTTTTTTTTGTCAAAATATATGATATATCAATCGAAACAAAGAGATAGTTACACCCTGAATAGCAGCCAGACCCTGAAAATCAAAAGAACGATTTACAGACGAGTACAAAGAGAGAACCTTTTTAACTACCGAATGAGCTACCCTATTATTCTCTCGACCTACAAATAATAATTTGTGAATTTTGGCGAATCCTTTTAAAATCGCGCTTTCCCGCTCTAAAAGCGGGAGCGTCCACCCTCAACCACGGATTATGTGACCTATCGAGGCCCCGGCTTTCGGAGCCCAGCCATTTGGGCCTGACTCACAAGAAGATAGGCCCAATCTGTTACAACGGCGAATCATCGAAACAGCGGCGAGCTCATTCTCAACTCAGCAGCTGCAGCAGTGTCACCGAGAGAAGCCAGCGGAATTTTTGCAGGGAGAGAGGTCGGGGTTTAGGGTTTTCGAAGGCCTCACAGTCACTGGTCTGCAACAGACGGAGCAAGGAACGGAAGAAGTAGGAATCAAAAGGGAGTCGGGAAAGCTAAAGAGATGAAGTCGGTGGTGGGAGTCGTCGTTTCCAACAAGATGCAGAAATCGGTGGTGGTCGCCGTCGACAGACTATTCCACAACAAGGTCTACAATCGCTACGTCAAACGCACCTCCAAGTTCATGGCCCACGACGAGAAAGACGCCTGCAACATTGGAGACCGAGTAATTGCTCTCCCCCCTCTTTATTTCCTATTTTATGGTTCTCGGTGAGCCCGTTCCCAGCTCAATTTTGTATAAAAAGTTTACGCTGTTGCTCGGAAAGAACGTAACTTTTTCCTCTGTAAACTAACTGGGATCAAAGGGATTTGCCATTTAATTGGGAGAAGAAGGATGCGAACAGTTATGTTGTGGAGCTGTTGTTTCTCCAGGGTGTACTTTTTAATTTTCGTTTCTGCTATTACAACTGCAAATGGAGGGTAACTTGGGTTCTAATTTTGTGGAATTGTTTGTGTCCAGGTGAAATTGGATCCTTCGAGGCCATTGAGCAAGCATAAGCGTTGGGTTGTTGCTGACATTCTGAAGAAAGCACGGATATACGTTCCTCCTTCTGCTGCTAATCAGACTGCATCAACAGCTTCATCTGAACTTCCAGCGTCTTCAATCTCTTAAGGTGAGAAAACGAACAATCTCTTTGCTAAGTTGCCTGCCTCACACCCTGGCTAAGGGAAGTTGAAAGACAATTCCCTAACTAGGCATTAGATGTAGCATAATCAATGAAAAGGATGGAGCTTAGTTGGTTCTGGTGTTTCTCAATGTCATCTGAGTGCATTTTTTGCGGAAACATATTGCTCCTGTGCTTGTTAACTTGAAATCTCAATGCTTTTAATTGTTTGGAATAAAGACAAGAGCAATTTAAGTAAACATTGTATGTTCATTGGCAAATTTGGTTCTCAGAGGATCCTAACTGATATGGGGTGCATAATTCAGTGTATTTGATTGAGGTGGGTTCTTTGATTTCCATAATTTCCTTAGTGTAGTTCTCTTTCATACACAAGGTGGGGCCACGCAGAAGCAGGCTTCACCTGCACAGTAAGACTCATCGTTCCTTCCGTCATTTTTCGGTTTTCTATGAGTGTTTTGAGATTATTTGCCGATCTTCAGTCATCTTTTGTCTTTCTGTTTTGATTTGTTCAACAGTATTCATGGTCATCCATTGAACCATGCCATTGTTCTTGGTAACAGGCCATATATAATGTCCAAGACATCTAGAAGGCTTCAGAGAAAATCATTTAGGTGACACAATCTCAGATTTGCTCACGGTGAAGATTTTCTTACCGTTGAGGATTGTTGTCTGGGTTTAAAATTGATTAGCATTTACGAGACTTGTTGGTTCTTGAATTTGAGGAAAAGAGGGACTCATGATTTAGTTTACAGCCCATTTTGTATGATATGCTGACTAGATTTCCAAATGAATCTGTTTTTTTCTTTTTCTAGTCAACTTCCTGGTGGCCTTTCCTATTGCCTTTATGTCTGCAAGTGATCTTTATTCCACGAAACAGACAAGTTGTTTTCAATGCTTTTCTTATAAAGGAGGTTAAATTTTCGGTTTCTCATAGCATTTGATTATATGTTGACTGCATGGTACCTCGGCGTCCACGTGCAGCATATATCAGTGCATGCTGTGTCGTTTTATCTCCACCTGTGTTTTGCATGAGCTCCATTGCTTACCTGGTGACAGCCAATCCTCTTGATTAAATTTGCTTACCTTCCCCTTTAGCTCTATAAATCAAGGACTACACTTTTTCTAGTTCGCATTCTGCTTATGGATCAATCTGGCCCCTCCAGTTCATCTGCTCCTAAGAAAACTATTCGAAGGAGGAAAAAGCTAGGAGGTTACATGGGTGTTCGTACGAGGGCAGTTGGAAAGTTTGCTGCTGAAATTAGTGTTCCAAGAATGGGAAAAAGGTTGTGGTTAGGCTCATTTGATTCAGCAGATAAGGCAGCTAGAGCATATGATGCTGCCCTGTATTGTGTTCGTGGTGAGTGTGGTAATTTCAATTTTCCGGGTGATAGACGGCCAGAACTCCCCAAGGCTCCCATGGATTCACTGTCAGAAGCAGAGATAAAGGCTATTGCTAATAGATTTGCTTTGTCACGAGGTACCTCAGGCTTAACCCTGGTGTCTTCTTCAGCAGGAACACCGGTGGGTGCTGATAAATCAGATTCTGATTTACCAGTTTCTAGTGCAGATGCTAAGAAGAGCACATCCGAAGAGAAGGGAGCGGAACCAGTAGCAGAAGACTCACTTGATGGTCTAGAAATGGATGATTTCCAGAATCTGGACCTTGAATGGGTGGATACCCTTTAAGGTGATCCGATGGTCCACCTTGGTAACAAGGGAATTCCCAATCCAGAACCGACCTTTTTAGTTCTTTTCTATGCCCCATGTAACTTCAGTTGTGATTGTGTGTTTTTGACTGTGGAATTGTGACAAGCTTGCTTTAGAAACTCTTTGTAATGGTACTTGCTTTAGTTACTTATTTGGGGGTATTGGAACCAAACCTGCAATTGACCATAGCAGTAGCATTATGAGTTTGAGTGACCCCAAGGTGCCTAGTGGCATGCCTTTCTGTGAGATTCTTCTCATTCATATCAAGGATTGCTACTGTTTAAGTGAAGTTTTGGTTCATGGGAGATCATTTGCTTCCTATTTTCGTTTTGAGTGAATTCAGCATTTGGGTTTTCTTGTTTGTTCCAAATCTCTGTTATTGCTTCTACATGTGCAGTCTTCGTTTTTTGTTCTTGGGTTCGAACAAAATTCTCCTATTGTTTGATTGTTTCCACCCATTTTTTTAGGGTGCTTGAGTGAGAGTCGCCGTGATGGTTGTTGCATTTGCAACAAAGAGGAAGGCACTGTTTTAACACGGAAGGGTAGTCTGTATGTTTCCCTTTGTTATGAACGATCTTGAAACTGCATCCAATTGCAATACGATTACAGACTACTGAACCGAACGACATCGATTGCTTCCTCATTATTCAATCCATCCATGGAGGAGCCAAATGAGTGATTCTTGAAACAACGAGGTGTGAACTGTGATGATGATGATGATGGCAAAAATAACATGCAGACAGACATATGCGTTCTAAATTTTTTCGTTTCTAGAATTAATGTTCTTCCTTCTCGGACAACAAGAGCGATGAACTCGAAATAATGAGAAAGCAAAAGGTCACAATAGAAACAGATTCTTTTTGAATGAACGGATTCGTCAAAATCAGTAACATGAATGAATGAAAAAAAACAGGGGACTTTCACAATCCTCATCTTTAATGTCTCTCTGCTCCATTTAACTTCTTTTTCACAGAAGCTGCAACGTCATCATAGTGAGGATCTAAAAATACATATAAGCGTTTTCCCAAACTGTCGTTTAGCGATTTAAATTCTCTTCCATTCATGCTTCCACGTCAGTACTTTATCTCTCATATCATCAGAATTTCGTTCCGTTTCACTTTTACCCTTTATCCTTTTGGGCTTTGACAGTTTGGGCTTTCTCCCCTTGTTTCACGGCAACAAGAGGCTTGTTGTGCATCCATCCTTTGTCACTTCTTTGACGAGATGCACTCGTTTGAAACGATTGGATATATCAGGAACTTCATTTGAGGATGCTTCACTCCCAAGCTCCCTAGGGAATTTTTCATCTCTAGAAGAATTTTATGCGTATGAGAGCAGAATAACAGGTATCATCCCTGATCAAGTTGGTAACATGAGTAATATAAACACTTTTGCGCTCTCAGGAAATCGGTTGACTGGATCCATTCCAAAATCCGTAAGACAGCTGGGGAAACTTCAGTACTTGGCCTTAGATCACAATGAGTTATTCGGACCAATTCCTAAGGAGCTTTGTGAGTTACACACATTAGGTTACTTATTATTCCTGGGTTACAACAATTTTTCTGAACAGATCCCAGGGTGCTTACATAATCTAAGTCTTCTTCAACATCTTGGCTTGGAATTCAACAAGTTCAGCTCGCTCTGTGATACCTTCTTCACTTTGGGACATGAGCTCCTTGTTGAGATTGAATCTGGGAGGTAATTTTCTTAGTGGGTCTCTTTCTCCACGAGTCGGCAACTTGAAAGGCTTGTATTGGATGCGCTTATCAGGGAATCAACTATCAGGTGAAATTCCTGCAAGTATTGTAACTCTTGTAAATTTACAAGAGTTGTATTTGAATCAAAATCGATTCCAAGGACCCATCCCAGATTCCTTAACCAACATGGTTACTTTGAAATCCTTGGATCTGTCATCCAACAATCTCTCAGGTGTTATTTCCAAATCCTTGGAGTCATTGAGGGATCTAAAGCATTTCAATGTATCACATAATGGATTATGGGGAGAAATCCCAAGTGAAGGACCATTTGCAAATTTGTCGTCAGATTCATTTGAGGGGAATCCTAGGTTATGTGGGTTACCCAAGTTTGGAGTACCCTTGTGTCCTAAACCAAAGGGAAAGAAACTTGGACTGAAGCGCTTGGGGAAATTAGCGATTAGCCTTCTCTCCCTAACGGCTTTAGCTACGGTTGTTGTAGTTGTGGTGATCATTTGGTGCTGGAATAGGAAAGTAAGGAACAGAATGAGTGGAAGGGAAGAATCTTTGCCTGTAACTAAATGGAGAAGGATTTCCTTACTCGAGCTCCAAAGAGCAACAAATGGGTTTGATGATTGCAACTTGTTGGGAAAGGGAAGCTTTGGTTGTGTGTACAAAGGGGAGTTAGCCGATGGAACCAGTGTAGCTGTGAAGGTGTTCAATTTCTCGGAAGAAGAAGCCGATGTTGACACGATTGACGTTCATCACGAATGTGAGATTTTGTGCAATCTTCGACATAGAAATCTGATAAAAATTATTAGCATTTGTTATGCAATTGATTTCAAGGCATTAGTATTGGAGTTCATGCCAAATGGAAGTTTGGAGAAGTGGCTATATTCTTACAATAACTTTTTAGACATCATTCAGAGGGTGAACATTGCGATAGATATTGCATCTGCCCTCGAGTATCTTCATCATGGCTATTCGGTTTCGATAGTTCATTGTGATTTGAAGCCTGAAAACGTGTTGCTAGATGGAGATCTAGTTGCTCATCTAAGTGATTTCGGCATTTCTAAGTTGCTAGGTGACATTGATTCCATCACTAAAACACGCATGTTTGGCACCGTTGGATACATAGCACCAGGTATGTGTTAAAAAACAAGATAAACTTCTATGCATAATATTATTGTGTGTATGCAATTATAAATTATTGGTTCCATGTTTTTGTCAATGTAGAGTATGGCGGGGAAGGAATTGTGTCGGTAAAGAGTGACGTGTACAGTTTTGGTATTCTACTCATGGAAGTTTTCACCAGAAGAAAACCCACCGAAGAATCATTTGATGAGAGAATGGATATGAAGCAGTGGGTTACTACATTTATGCCAGAGAGAGTAACCGATATTGCTGATGCAAATTTGTTGGCGGACGATTCAAGAGTAAACTTCAGGGCTAAAGTCAATTGCATATCATCGATTATGAAGTTGGCATTAGCGTGTTGTGCATACACACCGGAAGACAGAATGAATATCACTGATGTGCTTTCCCATTTGAAGAAGATAAAGTCGCAAATCTCGAAGTCAAGACGTGTGAGAATTTAAATAGATGAAGTGGATTTGTTGTAATAGTTAGCATTAAAGTTGGGATACCTTTATGTTGATGATGATAAGTATAATGAAAATCCCTTATAGCTATAGCGTACATAGTTGTTGTGTTGTACGTGCTTAAACGTTATGAAAATGATTGCTTGCAGTGCTGCAAATGTCTTTTGAGTGTCTATCTAGTTGCAAGGGTCCAAGATAGGGTGCATAACCCATGGTTATGCACCCGTCAGTAACCCAACAGGAGCCGTCCATCTGGAGCGGGGAGATCTAACGGCTGGGGTCGGAGCGGGGTGGGGCAGGGGTATTTTTGTCCATTTTTTGAATTTATGTCCTTCGCTCGTTATTCCTTTTTTGTTTATCCTTGGCCGAGCTGGAATTGGATTCATGAGAGAGAATGAGAAGTAAACAGAGCAATCGAGAGTTTTTCTCCGAAGGATCTGTCGATGGCGAGAAGGTTGGTGGAGGACGCGATTCTTAGCTTAATCGGCAGCGGACTTGCGAGTTATAGTTGTTAGAAGGTCTGTGGAGGACGCGATTCTTCTTCTTCTTCTTGCTCGAGGTTTTGGCTCGATTTGTTTGTGTTGAAGTTTCTGCTGGCCGTTGTTTGGTCTCCGTCGAGGTAATTTGTAGTGATAGTAGGATTTCACGTTTGCGCATTGATTCCGTTCTGTAATTTGTTTTTGATGTTGTGTATATATGATTATACCATGCAATACCAGTTTATACCATATATCTGCGTTTTCTCTTTTGTGCTCTCTGTTTTCTGTTCTTTGTGATCAATGATCTCATTATGTTTGTATAAGTTTGTTCAGTTGATTGATCCGTAGTTGAATTTATGTTTTGTGCAGGAATTTTTTGAATCTTCTTGGTTGACTGAGCTTTTTTAGTGCAATGAGTGATCTCAATCAAGGCGCCATTGTTTCTTTGAATGAATCTAATACTGGATCTAGTTCTTCTAATAGTGTTGTTGAATCGGAAGGTAAGAATTTTAAATGTGTTTGGTAAGTTGATGTTTGTATATATGTTATACCATACAGTACCATACTGGTATTTTATAGTATTTTTGCATATGAGTGTTGTGTTTTATTTTTTGTAGATTGTTTTTATAGTTGTTGTGATTTTATGTTTCTGTATATATGTTTATACCATGCAATACCGTGCAATACCATGTTATACCATATATTACCATGTTATACCATAAAGTACCATACTGGTATTCTATGGTATTTTTGCATATGAGTGTTGTGTTTTATTTGTTGTAGATTGTTTTTATAGTTGTTGTGATTTTATGTTTCTGTATATATGTTATACCATAAGAAACTACACTGGTATTTGTATAGTTTTGATTGTAATAAACTTTACCATATGATACTATGGTGGTATTATAGTTTGTACAGCATTAATGTTTCATTGTTTTTATGGTTTAGGTTTTGATGGTATTGATCCTAATGTTCGAAGTTCCTGGAACAATCTTGAGTTCGCTACAACTGATGATGCATATAGATTTTATGTGGATTATGGGAATTATAAAGGTTTTTGTGTGAGGATTTACCATCAGTCGGCATGTCCGAAGCTTAATAATGGTTCAAATGCGGTTTATTATATCAAGTATTGTTGCAATAAGGAAGGCTGGAGGATTGGTAGTGAGAATAATCCTGCTAATCGTGGTTCTATTGATGCGAAGGCTCGTGTTCGTCATGTTCCAGAAATCAGGGGTGGATGTGATGGTGCCTATATTCGAATTAGGTGGTTTAAGCAGTTCAATTGTTACAAGATTTATAAGTGGTATGATGTGCATAACCATGACATGATTCCTGTGGCTATGCGTCACTACATGAGATCGAATAGAAAAATGGCTCCTGTGTATAAACTGTTGGCAGATGTGAATGATGCTGCTGGTATAGGTGCGACTGCTTCGTATAATGCAATTAGTACAGCTGGTGGTGGTCGGAAGTGTATTGGTTTCACAAGAAATGATTTGAAGAACCACCTGCGGACAGTGAGGACGTCATCAATGGAGCATGGTGATGCAACTGCATTACTAAAACACTTTAGAAGACAAGCTAAGCTGGATCCTGGCTTTTTTCATGAGGTAGAGGTTGATGTGGATGAGAATATTGCTAGTATTTTTTGGGCAGATGGGAAGATGCGGATGGATTATCATTTTTTCGGGGATTCAGTTAGTTTTGATACTACATACAGAACGAATAAAGAGTATCGACCACTAGGTATGTGTTCTTATTTTTGTGATTATTCTGTATTATAGTTATTTTTATTTGGTATTATGTTGTTACCTGTTAATACTATGGTGGTATTTTGTGGTATTCATTATGTTGTTATCTGTTAATACTATGGTGGTATTTTGTGGTATTCATTTTTTTAACACTGTGTACCACATGGTATGTGCAGCTCTGTTTGTTGGTTTCAACAACCATCATCAACTCACTGTGTTTGGAGCTGCCCTTCTATATGATGAAACAACGGCAACGTTTGAGTGGTTGTTTAATCAGTTTTTGGAATGCATGGGAGGTGTGAGCCCGTTGTCTATTTTTACTGATCAGGCTGCTGCAATTGCTGCTGGTATAAGGTCTGTTTTCCCAAGTTCTTTCCATGGATTGTGTTCATGGCATATCTCACAGAATGCAGTTGTTAATTTGGGATCTTTGTGTGATTCGGATTTCCTTTGTGAGCTTAGCTATTTGATGTACAATGTTGATGATGAGGATGATTTTGAGTATAATTGGAAAAGAATGATAGATAAGTGTTTCCCTGGGAAAGGACCTCTTGGACATAGTTGGTTACAAGGTATTTACAAGGTGAGGGAGAAGTGGTCATCGGCTTGGGTGAATTCTCATTTTGGTGCTGGTATGAAGAGCACCCAGTTAAGCGAGTGTTGCAACAGTAATCTTCGTCATTACTTGCAGTCAGAATTTAGTATTCCTAGATTCTTTGTACATTTTGATAGGATGCTTGATAATAAGAGAGATGCTGAAGAAGAAGAGGAGTACAGAGCACTTTCTACGTTTGCTGATTGTCGCTTTTCAAGCAGTGCTATTGTCAAGCAAGTTGCTGATCTATATACCCCAAAAATATTCCAGCTTTTTCTAGGACAGTACAAAGAATCTCTTTCATACAATGTTTTCCCTAATACAGAGTTAGCTCAAGAAGGGAATGTAAAGATCTTTGATGTCTTTACATTGTTAGCAGACTTGTCAAGGTTTGACAGCAGACTGCTCATAGTTGATTTTGATAATGGTGAAATTAAGTGTACTTGTCGCAAGTGGGAGTCAAGTGGTTTGTTGTGTAAGCATCAATTGAGGGGATATGATTTGTTGTGGTCTACAACTTGTAATGTGAAGTTTCATCACATCCCTTCTAGTTTGATTTTGAAGCGATGGACAAGGACAGCAAAAACTGGTGGGAATTTTGGATTTGCAGTTTCGTCTACTGAGGCTCCGTCAAAGTATCGGTCTCGCCTGTTCAATATTTCAGCTGTTTCTGCTTCGCTTATCAGTAGGGTTTGTTTGAATGATGATTTGTATAAAACAACCATGGATTTCATGAGTGATTTGATCAAGAAGTGTGAAGCTTTACCAACTGTTGAAACAGCTGGTACGGGTGGATCGACCAACTGTGAGAGTAAGTTCCTTGGCCCCCTTTTGTTTGTGTATATGATTTTTGTTATTTTTTTGTCTGCCAAGTTGTTTTACCATGTTGTACCATGTTGTACCATGTGGTATAGTGTGGTTTTCTTTACTGTTTCTGGTAATATGTTGGAATACCATATGGTATTATGTGGTATTGATTGTAGTATGTATTTCTTATTTGTAGGTGATGTTCCAGTTCGAAATGTGAAGGGGTTTAAGCCTAAGAAGGATTCATTTAAGCCTTCGAAACGACCTATTACAGAAGCTGAGATTGGAAGGGCGGCTAGTAGGAAGAAGAAAAAGACTAGCAGATTGGAAGAGGAGAAATTGAAGGCTGTGGAAGAAAGTTTGAAGTTGAAGTTGTGATAGTTGTTTGAAGGCTGTGGAGTTTTATTAGCTGTTGAAGGATGTTGATTTTTATGTATTTCTTGCATATTTGTTTTGTTTTGAAGTAGTATTGATCTGCACATGTGAAGGACTTAATGTTTAGTGGATGATTTTAACCTTTGATATAATGTTTTTTCTATATGGTGTTGTGTGGTGTTTTTAAAAATGTTTATACCATGTTATACCATATGGTATACTATGGTAAAAACATTTTTATGACTGTAATCTTAGCTAAGTGTTGTGTTCAGTTTAGCATAAAATAGCATGTGGTTTTGTTCTGGTGTATTTAAAAATCCTTATACCATGTTATACCATATGGTATACTATGGTAAAAATCTTTATACCATGTTATACCATATGGTATACTATGGTAAAAACATTCTAGATGACTGTAATGTTAGATATGTGATCTGTGCTGTGTTCAGTTTCCATAAAATACCATCTATGTTGTTGTGGTGCATTTAAAAACGTTTATACCATGTTATACCATATGGTATACTATGGTATACACATTTTGATGACTGTAATCTTAGATCTGTGACAATAATAAGGGGTAAGATAAAGTACTAGGCTGTTACATAACCATAATAAGAAGTGTTTCAAATGTAAGTTATAACACACCCATAAGAAACACACTGAATACCTTGTTTGTTCTAAAAAGCACACACATAAGAAACACACTGAATACCTTGTTTGTTCTAAAAAGCACACACATAAAAAAAAACTAGCAAATTGGTTGTCTGCAAAAGCATTGTTTTCAGAAGCTGATGTCTATAGTAGATATTGTAACCATACTGATTCTGTCCCCTTCCCTTACTTGCTTTGATTCTTCATAGCACAGTACTTTGTGGCAGCCTTCATTATCCGATCACGCTCCAGGTTGTCTTTATTGAGGATGATATCCAGCATGATACACTCCCTGTCTTCTTTGATCAGATCCATTCTCTTCCAGTCTGATTGCAT